TTCTATGCTGAGGATTCCGATTTAGATAGTTCTGGAAGCTAAAATAAATTGGATATTTTATTGCTTGCCTTTTAGGATGCTGAAATTATTAAGAAGTTAATCTTAAATGTATTTTTCAAGATTAAGGTATATGCAATCAAATTCAAAAACGGTTAAGAATGTCCAGTTTTATGGATATATGACTGCCATTATTTAAATGTAATCTGTGAATTTAGGTGTGGCTAGTCTGGATTAGGATGAGGGTAGATTTGGTCAGTTTTACTCAGTAATTAATGAGATTATGGTTTACAAAATACACACAAAAATACTGACATGAAGATCAACCTTTTCCTTACACATTAACACTTGAGACAAACAATAGACCAGAGAGAGAAAGAGAGAGAGAGAGAGAGAGAGAGAGAGAGAGAGAGAGAGAGAGACTACCAGCGTAAGGTAAATTAGTTCTCACTCTTTAGGGCTACTGATTATTTTATGTATTAGTTGTTGGTACTAATTGTTTTAAATCATCCCCACCTTCAGAGTGCTTTAATGAGTGAATTACTTTAAGATTTTATTTTTGATATTGTCTTCTATTTTAATTTCAAATGAAATCACTTCATGGAAATTGAAGCAAGACTTCATCTATTTGGTGCTTAAGGTTCAAGTACAAACATAATAAATATCACTTTTTTAGCAGAGCAGATGAAGTTCTCCATTTTCCCTTGTAGACAAATAAACTTGAAAATATTTATTTACATTGTAGGTTTTATGGAGTGAGTGATTTCACTTGGGGTAAAAGTTAAGTTCAAGGCACATAGGGAGAATAGAGTTTCTAAAGAGCTCTTGCCCCCACAATTAATTTACCAGGAACTGTATTATTTGTAAAATGTTGATGTGGTGGTGGTGGCGCACACCTTTAATCCCAGCATTTAGAAGGCAGAGGCAGGCAGATCTTTGTGAGTTCAAGGACTGTTATACAGAGAAACCCTGCCTTGAAAAACAAACAAAATAAACAAATAAAAGTTCATGGCGCACACTAACTTAAGGGTTTTTTTTTTGGTGTATGCGTGTATTATATGTGTGTGTGTGTGTGTGTGTGTGTGTGTGTGTGTGTGTGTGTTGGGATAGGTGTTCTCCATACACTGACCCCATAGGATTCTCCTCTGAGGTCTGCGTCTCTTCTCCTGTCCTGGCTCCTGTTGTCCTCAACAGTGTCATTGAGCCCTAGGGCCCTTCCTCTCTAAGTCATGGGTCTTTGCAGTGGCCCTGGATGCCTTCCCTCTGTTGCGTCACCTTGCTTCACTCACCTGCCCTTTCCTCCCATGGACCTGTTCTCTCATTGTTTTTTCTGTGGATCACACTGCTCTATACTCACACAACTACCCCAACTACATTTTCTGCATTACACTTTCCCTAAAAAGTGCCACATCGTTTAGCTTTTGTGTGCGCATGTCACTTACTGTTCTAATGGATGGTCTCTAAATGCTTTACACCACTCCAAAAGCTGTCCCTTTGTTTCTTTACATCGGAAGACTTCACATTTCCACAATTTGATGTACAGTGTCCCCAGGCATGAAAAAACACTTTCTTTAAGTTACTACGAAGTTGTTTGCTTTATTGTGCTTCCATAAAATGTATAAATCACATAAACAAACTGTGTTACGACTTAACTGGTAGAGCATCTATTTCTGAGTGCGTTAAGGAATTGCCAAGAGTGATTAAGCCCACCCTCTCTCTCTCTGGCTCTGAATGGAGTGTTGACAGCCAGTGAAGAGCTTCTTCAATAAATCCATTCTCATGCTCAAGTTTTTCCAGATGTGAGAAATAATTAAGTCTTTGCATCTATTGGAGCCTTTTATGCTTTTCAGGCAGGAGCTGGCAGCTGTGATGGATTAACTCTGCCTGAGTGTGTATTTATTGTTTGGGGTATGTGTGAATGTATGTACATGTATGTGTGCATACATGTAACACTTGCCAATAGTAAAACAAAGCCAGACTTGAAAATAAAATGAGAGGCTGGTTTCAATGCATGCTAAACATTTTCATAGCTGCCCTTCATAATCAAGAGCCTTTTTTATTTTTTGCTAAATGTTAAAGAAATGAGGATAGAAGATGCTGTTAAGTAACATATTGTTAAAAATATGTGATTCTTATAAAACACAAAATATACATGTTTCAAATATTTTAATGTATTAATAAATGAGGGGACTAGTAAGGTGTTACAATTGGTTTAAAGGTGGATTTGTGGAACCATAGATACATAAATAATAAGGAATGCTGAAATGAATTCATAAATAGATGTGAAGCCAATAATCAATTGTGTTCTCTAAGACATAATTTGTATTTCTGTAGATAAAAATCCTTTGTATTGTTATCAATTTTTAATAGCTTGCAAAATTATAAAATAGTGTAAATACAGTGAAAGGACGATAGTTACAAAGAAGCACTAGACAAGATACTCACATTTGCTAAAATGTTAGTGTCAGTGTCTTTCATAGTTATTCCTGCCACATTCCAAATAGCTGGGAATACACACATACACACTCACACACATATGTATGTACATATACACACATACACATATATATGTCGTCATACATGCATTTACACATATGTACATCTATCTCCTTTTTGTGTGAAAATAAAGCTGTTTAATCTTGCCTAACTTTTCTGGTTAAAAGTCGTATTCAGATAATTCAAACCATTTAACTCTTGCTGAAGACTGTGTGACAAAGAGGACCCAATAACCAAATGAGGTTTAAAGGATTATACCCTTTAATAGGTGAGAAAGAACTAGGTCACGGAGGTGGCTTTAGGGAAGAACAAATAAGTTTTAGGGGAGATCAATGGACTCAGAAAGACAATCGACTCAGACAAAGTTTGTTTAGGGTTTGAGTGTTTGGTTTCTTCTTTGGTTGATGGAGATGATGCGAGCCAACTATGCTCCCTTCTGCTAGAGCCAATCTTTGCATAAATTAAAGAAGTGCCTCTCTCGGCTTCTGCTAATTTCCAAGTGTCTGTAAATGAAAATATCCTGCAGCCTAAGGCACCATATTTTAAGGTGTCTTCAATCCCAACTCAGAACTGAACTGTAATTTATTGCAATACTTTATTAGGGATTTTCATATGTTAATGAATTGTCTCCATATTGGAGAAAAGCAAAGAACACATTCTGTTAAGAAAAAAAAAAAAAAAGAAAGGAAGCCAGGTGGTGGTGGTGCACGCCTTTAATCCTAACACTCAGGAGGCAGAGTCAGGCGGATCTCTGTGAGTTCGAGGCCAGCCTGGTCTACAAGAACTAGTTCTAGGACAGGCTCCAAAGCTACAGAGAAACCCTGTCTCAAAAAACAAAAACAAAACAAAAACAAAAAAGAAAGAAAGAAAGAAAGAAAGAAGAAAGGAAAGGGAAAAAAGAAAGGTGAAAGGAATGGAACATCTGTCGACAAACAAGACTCTGGTTGCATGTGACCTTGGGGATGGATACCCAGGACAGGGAGGTACTGTGTGACTCACTCAGTACTAATACAGATGTGTTTTCTTAGCCAGGGGCTGTGTCTCTTCACACTGTCATTTCTTGCTTGTTGGTACTCATATGTAAACATCAAGCTATTCGGAGTTCAGCAGACATCAGAATTCTGATTACACAAATCAGCTCTTTCTTCCCACTGCAGGCCCTGCGGTGCCCCTCTTTACCCTTCGGAAGGATAAGACCCCTTTATAACTCTGCTCGTCTTGTAACTGTGCACATTTACAGAGTGACTGGAAGTTCAAGTGATTTCCTTTTATTAAAGTGTCATTTTAATTTATGCCAAATTGGAGGCAGGAAAGGATTAAAGGATTTGCTGTAGAAGGCTTGGTCGAGCCAGATTTGGAATTCCATGGTTTCACCATGAGGAATGTGATCTCCCGTGTTGGTCTCATTCTGTATCACTTTGTGGAGAGAGGACCAAAGTAGAACTGTAGACAATGTCAGTGAAGTGTATAAAAATAGGGGCTTAGCAACTGTAGAGATATTCCCCTTTGGGGGTACCCCACTAGTTAAAGTGTGTATTAGTATACAACATTAAACTAGGTTTTGGTGGGGGGAGGATAAGTATTTTTGAAATGTAATCACTACCTATACAAAAAATACTTTTTTAATTCCCCCAAGTCATTTTTTTAGCCCTATTGGCAGGAAAGCTTGGCTATGATAAAAATCAGGGCTTAAAATTTTTAGAGGAAACGTGACATGAATTTTATATTATACTCATATGTGAAGGAAAAGAAGATGTATTAAATCAAAAGTCATGGTGTATGTGGCTTGCCAGAAAGTCCATTAAAGAGTTCACCAAGCAAATTTTGATTTTTTTAAATTTCCTTCCAGGGTATGTTTTATTCAGCACTGTATCTCCTTCACCAGGCAAAGAACCAGCACAACAGTGTCATTGTGCAAGAAGCAGGGCTCCGGTAGGTTCTGGACCAGTGCTCCGTCACAGCAGATCGTTAGCTGTTCTTGGCCCTAAGTGTGTCCTCTGGGAAGAAAGCACACTAGCTAGGGGTTTGTGTTGGTTTTCTGCACTGGGTCCCAAAAGAGGGTCTCACACAGCTATACACCGACTTGTAGAAACCAAGCCAACTTAATAATAACCCACGTGTGTTCTTAGCCATCTTTTTACCTTTTATGTTTATTTTAAGACAAGGCCTCACTAAATTGCTCAGACTGGCTTGAAACTAGTTCTGTAGTTGGGACTGGCTTTGAACTTGTGATTCTCTTGCTTCTATCTACCAAAATGTCTGGGAATATAAGCTTTTGTGATTAAGCTTAGCTCCTAAAGATTTACTAAGGATCCTTGTGATTTTAAAATTCTGATCCCAACATCTCAAAAGAAAAAAAAATGTGTTCATATTGTGTGTGGTGTTTGGTTGTGTCTTTGAAACTTTTGTGCGTTAAGGTTTGACTGATTTTTTTTTTCTTGCAGCCCAGTAAAGAGTGAATAAGAACTCAGAGCATGATGGGAAAGGAGAAGGGACACTGCTCAAGGCTCACGTAGGCTATCCACCATGGAAACAGACAGCACCAAACGCAGCACGAGCATTGTCATCACAAGTGGAAGCTAACAGGTGCAATTTGGACAGCTTTGGCAGGAGGATTTTTTTTTTAAGTATATGCTTTTTAGAGGTTTGCAGGGAACGTTTCCAGAAATGGATCATCCATAGAAAGTATTTCGTCCTTGAAGGTAGCGCAGTAGAGTCTACGAACATCAGCATAGTCTTCTGGGAGAGGGCGTGAGAGAGACAGCTACGGTTTACACTTTCTCCTCGTGGATGAGCTGAATGCATAAGAATTTCCTGTAGGCTGCTGTGACATGGCTGTTAGTTGTCTAAGGTGTCCTAATTTAGCATTCTGGGGACAATTTCTTTCTGGCATTTTGCTGGTTCAGTGGCGTCTGTGATGCCTTTAATTCGACCTCTATCCAGAACTGTTTCATGAGAAAGGCAAGAGTTCGAGTAGAAGCCCGCCAGATGTAGCAGTACCGCGGCGCGGTCACGTTTCACCGAAGGTAGCAGATGCTCTTACGAGACAGTGGTAGGCAGAATAGACGGGGTGAGATGAGGAAGAGCAGATTCGTGTTTGGGAAATGAGACCTTTGGCAAACTGAGGAGTGCTTTTGATTGGTGGTCATCACAGATCCCTGCTTGTGTCATTGTACCACGTGGCACTTCCCGGCAGGTCTAGAATAGAACAGATTTGTTTTACATCATTGTTTTTTTCTTTTATCAACCATTTTTAAGCATTTTTTGCCCTTTCGAAAATAATTTGAGAAATAATCTGTTTATGATGTCTTTCTCATGAGACAGAATGTCTTTCTCATTAGAATTTTCAGTTTAGTAAGGCTGGGGCATTTTTCTTTAAAAATTTATAAGAATAAGTATATAAATATATATTCAATAGTTAAAGTGTAAGGTGTAAAGAGAAGCTCGGGAGCTTCAGAATGACTATTCTATCTCAATAGACATTCAGTGGGATATATAGATAGTAGGTGTGGTTAGCTTCAGGGTTTTTTATTCCGTTTATTTGAAAAATGTTATAATAGTTTATTGAAATAAATTTAAAAGTAGAAACATATCAAAAGTAGATACATATTATACTTGGTTACTTAGAATGATGTATTATTTTGGATAAAGATTTATTTTGTATAATTAACTTAATTAGTCACCATAGTTTTTTTTCCTAACATCGATCACTGATAAACTATAATATTTTAAAAAACCAAATTTACCCTAAAATTTAAACAGCTGGATTAACACACGATGAGTGATAGATTTTTAGAATTGCCTGACTTGACAACAAAGGATTTGCTGTGAGAAATATTTCCTTAATTATAGAACTACTGAGATAGGCCACACAACTATGGTTGCTTAGTTTCTCAGCTTTCCAAGTGTGGAAGACAGTGAGATTAAAAATAAGATGACTAGTGAGTTTGCAAAAATTCACACAATGAAAAAATGCAGAGAGGATGATTATTTTTGAAGTAGTGATGTTTCTAGAAGTCTTAAATAAAATATCAACATATATTAACTTCAACTTCTCATGTTTAATGATGTTTACAATTAATGTGATGCAGTATTCCCTAATTTGAGATTAACAGTCATAATTAACTCAGAATAGATTCTTTGAAGTGGTTCAAAGGGCTTTTTGTAATAAATTATTAGCCTCTAATAAGCTAATATGAAGTGAGTAGTTTTGGGGGATGGGAGAAGCATGTTAAAAATCTCATAAAACATTTAATTTAAGCTAATGAAATGACTTTGTATGGTACAGATTCTCCCTATGGAAACAGAGCCATGTCTGACATTCCAGAGAAAGCTTTATTTAGAACAAGTTGAGAAATTTTTGAGATAGCAGGCTTTAGGCCATGTTATCTTGGGTGTTATAGCTGAGTGGATTTCTAGAATCTTCCAGTCCTCTTTAAACCAATTTTTTTTTAGATGAATCGAGTTAGTGAAGTATAAAAACATTTTCTGTCTTAAGTCATCCAAATATGCTGATTGTAAGTTTGTCAACCTGAGCTTTGCCTCAGAAGATGCAAGTTTTCACTGGTGAGGCTGGGCCCGGCAGACCCCAAGCATCCTTGGTGTTCTCTGACACACCATTGAGATAAGGAGAGTGAGTGACACGAGCCAGGGACAAAATCTGGCAAGCCTGTTGTTTCCAGTGCCCCAGTGACTTCGGAGCACAAGAGTGTGGTGGGCTGAGAAAAGACACAGCAGATTTTAAAGCATTAATATTTTGATAGGGTCAAAATGAAGGTGCCTGTGTTTGAGGATGTAAAAGATGAGACCGAAGAGGAAAAAGTGGAGGAGGAAGAAAAGCAGGAGGACAAGGTGAGTGAGAAAGAATTTGATTACTAGCAGAATGTAGTCGTCGTCTATCAGGCAAGGAGAAAAAACCGGTTCTTTTCTCTCTCTTTTATTTTCCATAGGTATTTCTTAAACCTGTTATTGAAGACCTAAGCATGGAACTGGCCAAAAAGTGCACCGAGCTCATTAGTGACGTGAGTGGCTTTACAGAGTTTTGTCTTATTTGCTTTGTTCACAGGGAATGGCTGTGTGCAGAGCCACGAGGCTGGAGAGAAAACCCCGAGGTCACTTGTTAAAGCACAGTCATTCTCTAGTTCATAGAACTAAGGACAGACATGTTTGGTGGTTTCCCCAAGGTCATATCAGCAGAAAACTTCTGCTGCAGCCATTGTCCTCATTCCTAATCCAGGTCCCGTCTCATCTAAATTATACATTCACCCTGGTTTGCATGGTGCTGAAGTTAAACTCATACAGTTTGAGAACTCCCTAGACTTTAAAAGTAGCAGGATTCATCTTGGAAGGACCCCTAAATGAATGATTTTCAAAATGGAAGACCTTCTAAATGAACGAAGCTTAATTTTCTGAGGATCTTTCAAAATTTCTGTCAAATGCAATATTTTTCCAAATCATGAAAATGCATGTACTTTTAATTGCACCTAACATTTCTTTGCAATATGGGGTGTGTGTGTGTGTGTGTGTGTGTGTGTGTGTGTGTGTGTTAATGGAACTGCACATTAAAAACCCTGGTACTCATGATAATATGATCGAATAGGAACATTTTGTTGTGGTTTTTGTTTCAAGGAACTGAAGCTAGTTTATATGGTATTCCAAGGATATCCTAGAGTTATTTAATGTAAACATGTGCACATACATTTTAAGTACCTAAATAGAATTCTAAATGCATAAGAAAACTATTTCTCACTAGGAATGAGAACCTCCCCCACCATGTCCTCATAAACAATATAAGAGAATTGCTGGCAGAAAAAACATGGAGTTCTATGAAATGAAATGGTTTTTGTGCCTGCATTCTGGAGTGAGCGAAAAACTGACTGCATATGTTGTCTTTAATATGCAAAGTTTGTTTCCTGGTCAGTAGGGTAGTTTATTGGCCAGTTCTCCAAGACCAACTTGCCTGAGTCAAATCAACAATCAATAACTATGGAAATGTTAGTATAACATTTATAATTCTAAGATGAAATGTACATTGGAAATGCTGCATCTATTCTTTACATTACTGTGATGACTGCATAGATGCTAGCTACTCTAAGCCACTCCATATGCAATTTTTACCTCTATTTGACCATGTTTGATAGTCAGTGGAAACGCACACACTCCTCCCATATTCCTGACATGATGTGATGTACTTAAATTGTAAAGTAACATTTATTTGTGCTATTGCTTAGTAATAACCGTAAGTTACTTAACACATGTGAAAATTCTTTGTAAAGGGCACTAATAAGACAGTGACAATGATGGCAATGACCTTGACACCAGTGGCAGTTAAGACTTATGGGCTGGGTGTTGGACTTTGTGCGGTTGGGTCTCCTATTTTCCCCCATCTTAGAAGCAAGGGGTTGGAGGCACATAAAGATTAAAACAGGGGGGTGAACACGAAGCCCTTTCTCTTTGCTCTGTTGTTATTTCTCATCATGGATACCCATGTAAAGCTTATTACTATCTCTCATGCTAACATTAGTAACAGCAAAGTCATCATTTAAAACCCAGCTCTGGCGGTGGTGCCTCTTCCACCTTTGCTGTTTTTATTAAGTGCAATTATTGCTGGACTGTAGCTTTAATTAGGTAGGCGATTTATTGTTTTGGGGGAGGATGACTTATTGGCGACATAGGAACCTTCTAGCAGGAGACACAGTGCTTTTTTTTTTTTTAATCAATTTGTGAGTGCAGACGCCATGCCGCTCCTCTCCCCTTTAAGTGAAATCAAACACAAGGGAGAGATTTGTGCTTATTATAGATTTATGTTTCATGGCAAAATGTCTGTGCTACTTAAATATTTAGAACACAGTTATTGTCCCTTAAGTTGTGCCTGGATTGTGCTCACGTTCTGTTTCATCACAGAATTCTGTATTTTGTAAGATACTCACTTAGTTTCTGGGATTTTTACATGATTAATAAAGATTCTGAAAAATTATACTAATTTCCAGAATGAAGATTAAAGGAAGGGTCTACCCAATCATTTTAAAACCAGATCGTCAGGGCTGAGGATGTGGTTGAGCACCAGTGTGTCTGTCTAGTACTTGAAAGTCCCTCAACTGCAAAATAAATAAGTAAATAAACAAGCAAACAAACAAATCAATAGCGAGCTAGAATAAGGGTTTATGTTGCTAGAAGTTATAGTTAAGTATCACTAAGTAAAAGTTAATTGTTCTTATTCAGTTACATCAGTATTTTTATGGGGAAGAAATCACCTTATACCTGAAATCCCTTTTCTTTCAAATCAATACAATTTCTAAATTTGAAAATTTGATCTCCTCCTTATAGTTGCATAGCTAGCTGGTTGTCGAAAATGCATCAGGCACAGAGTTAAAATTATACACACACACACACACACACACATATAAATGGATGTTTATCACTCCAAATTAGGCTTAAGCATATATTGTATAGTGTTTCTAATTATGCAGGGCTAGATTGGTCCCTCACATTTAACCTAGGGCACCACTCTCCAGCCATCATAAAATAAGAACCTTTGGATGATTTGGTGGGACTTTATAATTCATTGTGTCCTGGAGGGGCATCTGTGTTTCCTTGTGGCTTCCTGTTTTTTGAGGGCAATTTTATTTTGCGTTGTTACTGAGTGAGTTTGCATGGTGTTTGCTGATGTAGCAGAGCCATGCACTGTAAAGTCTGAAGAAACCCTTATGTGCTGGAGATTAAGTCACTCAGCTGGCAAGTTCCCTGGGATGGAAACAAGACCAGGGTGACCTTCAAGGCTTGGCCATTCTGATAGCGTTCCTCCTTTGCGCATGCGTGCCACGCATTCCTCGCACACATCCTGATAGCTTTCCTTTAAGCACATGCGTGCTAGGCATTCCACACACACTTTTATCTTGTTACACACAGCACGCCTCCATGTAGGATGTATGTGTCCTAAGCCACAGTGCGAACTGGAAATTGAGTGACGGTCCAAGACACGTGCCCAACACTGGTGGGTTCAAGGTTCAAGTGGAGCGAGCAGTCACCTTCTGGTCTGCTTCATTTCCGACACTGGTATGGGGGCCATGGGTTTCTTTGCACAGGGTTCTTTTATACGCCCCCTATTGGGCCAATTTCTCTTTGGGTTTCTTCTAGCCTCATGCATCTTCATAGCAGTATCACAATTAGAACCATGTCCTGCAGTCTAGCTGAGGGTTGACCGGGACTATGAGTGAAATGACATTTAGTTCCGCTCCCGATGCTCCTCATAATGCTGCTTAGAGTTTCGTGGACCTGTGGACAGCAGTCATCTTCAGTCCTGATTTCTGACCTGTGGCTGATAGCTTAGGCCTGGTGTCTTTTATAGGAGTTCGAATGATTGTAAGCTTGTGAGGGATGGCATTCCTCATCCTTTGAGAGTGTCCTAGACTCATTTCTTGAGCTTGCCATTTCACTCTGAGAGAGAGAGAGGGTGGTGGTCCTTGGAAGCCCTAGAGACAGTGCTATATCTAGGTACCTCCAAGCCAGGATGGAGAACTGTTAAGTGAGACTGGCTTGGGGGGGGTCAGTCCTGGGAGACTGCACTGCGTGGACCCTCCACAGAAAGAAATGTCAAGCTTTCATGTCAAGTGACTTCTTTTGAGGGTTGGTCTAAAGCATTTTTCTTTCCTGTCCCCATCACCCCCTCTCCTTTCTTTCTAGTTTTTTCTTCTTTTCTTGTCTTTCTTATCTAGTTTCTGCTTGGCATTTGAACTGCCCACATCATGGAGTTTCCACGGTACAGCTCACATCTCTGCCCCGAAGGATGTTTAGCCTCCCAGAAGCCTCTTTGTTTTCCTTTTAAGTCTACAACACTGTCTGTTTCCCTAACTAAATTCTCTGGTAGTTGATCTTGGTTTTCAAACACCTCATCAATTCTACATATCAATTAGATTTGTCTTCTAGATTGGGTACACAGAATCGTGGATCTAGCAACTTTCAGACAAGTAGGCATAAAAAAAAAATACTGGGCAAAAAGAATCCTTGCTAGATTTCATTTAAGTGAGGCAGAATAAGCCTTGTGTAGACCAAATTAGGCTTCAGTCTAATTCAGTATGCAGCCTAATACAATATGTTATTTCAAAATTACAGGGTGTTCACCTGCATGAGCGTGGGGACAAATTTTTCAGACAAATGAACTTGTTTGCTGTGGACAAATCCTACCAGTTCTGAAGACATTAAATCCCATGGCTGCTCCTCCAGAGAAAGCCCAGACTGTATTAGAAAACCTGGGAGAGTGACCTTGGTCATGACCTGCCCGATCACAAGCTGTGATCAGACTGTAGCTCTTTCTCTCAAAATTTCAACGAATGCAATTTCATTTGTGCAAAGACTTTCTAGATAAGCGTGCATGTAAAGAAACAGTCACAAACAGTTCCGCATCTGTCATCCACTGTGAGCCATTAGCTAATCTTGCACTCATCAAAACAGCCATGGGCAGGAACAGGAAGCAACTCTGCACTAATTTCCCTCTAATTTTAGTGGCAACATTGTGGGAAAAACCAAAGGGTAAAGTAAATGTTTGGGACATCTGATTGACCATGAAACCATCAACCATGAACTTTGCCTACTTTATTTTGAAAATATGCTGGATTGTGTGTTTTCTATGAGACAGAGGGTGGCAAGTTATAGCAAGAGCTTAATGCAGGGGATGTTGAGTTCTCTCCAATATAAAGTTTGGTGTAGGTGGTTCCATCTCCGTACAGTAGCCATTTTCATTCTCCCTGGTTCCTTGTCTCCTGTTCTGCCCTCATCAATGTTCTGGCTTATCACCTAATGACATCATTGCTGCTGCCCTTGTGACTGGCGGAGAAAAGACAGAATCATGCCATGTCAGAGGACTGTGCAGAGCTTCTCCTGTCAGTCCAGAATGTTAGGAGCTCTCCTGGGAAGGTTGCATTAAGTTTCTTGTGATAGACCTATTGTTTCTTTGTCCCGACACCCTCCCTGGTTTATCAGGGGCCAAAGAAAATGGTACAACTGTGCCTCGTTCAGACCAGTTCGTCCTTTGGGATTGAGGTTGAGTTCCATTCAGGTCTGTGTGTTAGGAGTGAAGGGGTATGGTTGGGGATCTCACCAATATAGATGGAGCCATTTTTATACTATTTCCTGTAGACAAGATTATAAATGGTCATCCATTTTGGTGATCTATATCTGAATGAAACTTTGTATGGTTGATTGGTATTGTTATCTGTTTATTATTTCCTATCACACCAGCATAAGAATATTACAAATATGTAATAGAGTTAATTGTTTAAAAGCTTACAAACATTTACTTATTAATATGAATATTATAGAATTCATTAGGAATTGTGTGCAAACTCTTTGGAAATTATACACACAAACTCATTAGAACAGACCCAATCACAGTTTGTGTGTGTATTTGTGTGTGTATCTCTATGTTGTTTGTGTGTGTATCTCTGTGTGTGTGAGTGACTTGTAGTATATTTTATAAGATGAATAGCAATAGGCAAATTACGTTAAGTTTTCAAATGCAACTTGAATTTAAAGATGCAAATGCATCCAACTTTTAGTAAAGATCAAAGAAGGTCATGAAGCCTCACAGTCAAGACTGAACTATTTGCCTGCAGAACAAAGGAAGTAAATACTTCACCCTTATCCCCGGGGCCTGTCCTCTGCATCTAGCCCCTGTCAGGCACTATCAGAGGGCCTCTAGCCATAAGCACATACCACTGTGGTGAAGAATGTGATCCTGATGGGAAGATGGTGGCAGAAGATAAAAATAATGAGCCAAACTTAAGCCTAATGATAGGCTATTTTTTCTCATACATAATTATATAACAGGGATACTTTTTTTCCCCTATGATCAAAATAGCTTGGTATTTATCATCCTGCCATTAACGATTTAATTACTAGTGACTGAGGAGAGAGATTTGCAGGAACCTTAAATTATGGCTAATCTTTGAGAAGAAAAAATGTAATTTAGGGCTCAGATAAGATAAATATGTTCTCCTGTTGATTTCATGAATAAAGCAAGTGTTTAATATGGTAGACATTAATATCTATGAGACACAGCAGTGAAATACAGAATTTTGAAATTACTTACTGTATTTGTATCTGTTTCCACCTCAGGTCAGGTATGGCCCCTCAAATCAGATTTGCATTTGCAAAAACCTCCATGGAATGTTAGTCCCTTACATCAATATTAATCATTGCCCTCTTAAGAGCTGGGTAGTGGGTACAAGGAAACATCACATCTGAATTCTAATTAGGAAGACCATATAATTTATCATGTGAATTGAGACATTTTTCCAGCATAGGTATTTATAGTCTTGTGTAGATAAACATGACTTTATTACAAAAAGATATAAATTTCAGCAAATTACTTCCATCCTCGTGAATTCTTTGAAATCTGCCCCAATCAATTTTTAGACCGTGCAGCAATTAACATAACAGGAAGACACTGCTGACCCTTCTCCATATTTCCTCATACTTTTTGAGCTTGTGTATCATGTGGAATATAACCCCCACAGAAGAATAATTCTGCTTCTCCCGAAGAAGCTGCAAGTGATTTAATTTTACCAGTGAATCTGAGAAAACTGAGCATGCTCAGCTAAGCCCCTTGAAGACTTTCTCTGGTGGGTCTGCCTGCTCTTAGCACAGTGATATCCTGGAATGATCTGTATCTCCTGCATTCTTGGCAGGGATGGATGGGAGGGAGACAAAAGGTGCTGATAAATTGGGGAAGTCGGATTTTAGGGACTTAATTAGTTTAATCTCCTTATCTGCTCCAACCTGTAAAGGTAATGATGCTAAAAGTAATGTCCATTTGTTTAGTTTCTTCCCCAACAACTCAATATTTCCATCTTTTCTGAGGATTTCTTGTTTCCTACCTTGGGGTAGGCAGCTGTCTCAAGCCACAGACTGTGTGGCTAATATGGCCAGGTTTGATTTCTCTCTCTCTCTCTCTCTCTCTCTCTCTCTCTCTCTCTCTCTCTCTGTGTGTGTGTGTGTGTGTGTGTGTGTGTGTGAGAGAGAGAGAGAGAGAGAGAGAGAGAGGAGAGAGAGAGAGAGAGGAGAGAGGAGAGAATATCTGTGAGTGATATATATGTGTGCACATTTGTGTGTGTAAGTGTAGACAGGTGTGTGTCGTTGCATGTGTGTGGAAGTCAGAGGACAAGGTTGACTATGGGTCATTCCATCTTGATTTTAGGAAGGGTCTTCTCTTAACCCACCCTCTGGTCCATGAGCTCCTGGGGATTCTGTCCTCTCTGCCTTCCTTGCAGGAGTGCTGGAGTTGCAGGTGCTTGAGCCACTTTTCTGGATTTTACCTAGGTTCTGGAGATTTGAGTTCTGGTCCCCCCTGAACAAGGCTCTTCACCCACTGAGTCACTTCCCTAGGCTCCCAGCATTGAGACTTCATGGTGACTGATGCTTTCATATTGAAAGCACAAATCCCCCTCACAGTGTCTCATCGCCTGTGCAGCCCAGGACCAGATACCTTAATTTGATTATTTTATTTCAGTCTTTACTTCATCAAGTAGACTTGAGTAGTTCAACTTTCTGTTAAGAAAAGTTACTACACTTGGTTCTTTCTCCTTGTGTTAATTATTCTCTTTTTCAGATCCATTATAAAGAAGAGTATAACAAGTCCAAGGACAAGTGCACCTTTGTGACTGATACTCCTATGCTAAACCATGTAAAAAATATTGGTGCTTTTATTTCTGAGGTAAGGTCTGAAAATCTGTCAAATGGATTATGGCTTAAATTATATTATAGTGATAACTAGACACTGAGAGGGCTGTGATGTTGGATAACAGGAACTCAGACAATTAGGTACAATAAATGTGTTCCTGTGTTATATTATTATAAAAATATATTATTTTATATTATATTAAAGTTGGAGAATAATTTTGAATGAAACACTTAATACTGGTCATATCTAAATTATTTAACTATGAACCAAGTTACTATGTGTACACTGATTTTACTATAGTTCACTGGTGTATGTTTATGCAGTATATGTGTATTTTGACTGTAGTTATGCTTTATGTAGAATTACTCTTGAAAACAAATATTTTTATTCATGTAGTAGAAAATTCTGGCAGCATGGCTAATTTTAGAATTTCCAAGTTATTCATTTTGTAATGGACATATTTTGGGGGTAGATAATTGAATACCATATTGGAAGTAAGTAAATTTGTCAACTAAATCCATCAAGCATGCTATCTTGGATAAATAATTTTAAATGAAATCTTTTTGAGTGGGCTAAGACTCAGCTGGAGAGAGGTAATGTTTAGGAAGGCAGAGTGAAGGAAACACGCTATTTCCAGCTGAAAAGCCGCACAGCCTCTCCTGCGAGCATTCAGTTCCACAGTCCACAGTGGATCCCAAAGCACCATGTCATAATCTCTAGGCTGAGGATTTGCATTAGTCTGTGAATGGACTTGAAAAAGAGAACGAATAAAGCAGCATTGCAAATGACTGACCTTTAGTGTTTTGTAAGTTGTGTTGGAAAGAGATAAATGTGCCACACTCAGGATTATCTAGTAATGTGGAACAATTTTGAGAAAACTAGTCCATTTTCTGTTATTATTACCAGCATCTTTAGCTGGGGGACAAAAGGCCTATGAAGGATAGGCTCCTTCAATCAACACCCAAAGCAACTCTGACTGGGAGGTTTACTGAGGCCTCATCCACAGAGCAGAAGAAATGTGATTTTTCCCTTGTGTTAGCTACACTATTTATCATGTAGAGAGAAATTCTTGGTGTTCTCAATTTATGATTGATTAATTTTCTTGAAGGAGTTAACTGCAGAGAAAAAATTACAAGTGGTGACCTATCGTAGTCCCTAAAAGCTAATTTTCCCGAGAGGAAAAGGTGACTGGCTGTTTGTCTTCTCAAGTAATGTTAGAGCTTGTTTATAATCAGTGCAGGCTAAAGACACACACACACACAGAGATGCAGACACACAACACATGCACAAACACACACACAGAGACACAAACACATGCACAAACAAGCACACACACACAAACTCTCTTACACACACAGCCACACAGAAACACAAACACACACAATCACACAGACATGTGCACAAACATACAGAGACACAAAACACACACACATGCAGACACACTCACACACACTCAGAGGTAAATGAGGCTACACCTTCCACTGTGGCCAAAGAAAGCTAAGAAGGTTTTAATAAAGGACCACTCCTCCTATAGTTGTTATTATTATTGTTATTTAATTATGTAAGTTTAGAGGATTTAATGACAATTCCATACATTTACACTTCTATTCTTATTATTAATATTTAATTGTATAAGTTTAGAGGATTTAATCTGATAATTCCATACATTGATACAGTGTGTTCTGATGAGAACCAGGTAGTTAACTTTTTTCTCTCCTACAAACAATTTTTCATTATCAGACAGAAAAATATTGTACATCCTTCTGAACTGAGTGTGATGTTTCAGCACACACATGATAGGTCCTGAGCAAATCAGGGAAATTAATGTTTCTTTCTCGTTGTCCTTATTTTGTGTCTGCAGCCTTTGTCTCCCCTCTTCAGTTTTTCACAAAATAAAAAATAATTTGTTGTGAACTATGGCCACCCTGCAGTTCTGTAGAACACAGGAACACATTCATTGTGCCTAATTGTCTGAGTTCTTGTTATCCAACATCACAGCCCTCCCAGTGTCTAGTTATCACTATTGTTTGCCTCTAGGTTCTAGACAGTAAATTCTAATAACTTGTATTTTGTGGCTAGAAGGTCTCATTGTTCTCAGACCATTTGTTCACTGGCCAAACACGTGCTACTTGCAACACACAGACTTCAGAAATACACAGATCGAAACACAAACTTCCCCCTGTCCTTCCTTATCACAGTTAAAGCTCTCGCCACAATACACTGGATTTATTTCTATCTTTCAGAATATTCCCATCAGATTAATTGACATAAATTTAATAGCCTGTAGGTTTTTAAACCAATCATGTATCTAACTTAAGCTTTCTTTTGTATTCACAGTAGCAGAGAAAAAAATGCTTATATTTTTTCCTTTTTTTTTTATCTTAGGCAAAATACAAAGGAACCATTAAGGCAGATCTTTCCAACTGTCTGTACAAGCATATGCCGGCCACTATTGACAGCGTGTTTGCAAGAGAAGTATCCCAGCTTCAGAGTGAGGTGTGACTCAATTTTGTAACCTTACAGAAGTTATTTGGTATTTGGCATTTATGAGCATTGTTTTCTTTTTCTTTTTCTTTTTTTTTTTTGTTATCAAATACTAAATGGAACCAGAAGCAACTGGTCTGTACTGCTAATTATCACAGGTGAAATGGCAGAAAATGAAGGGAACCTCAGTATCAGGTCTGCTGACCACGTCTTTGCTTCTCCATGGCCCACTCATTGTCCTTCAAAGAGCTGATTCCAGTATCATCCAGACAGTTTCTTGATGAAATTTTGATAGCTACTTCAAGTAAATCTCTTATTTAATGTATGGTCCCTAAGCCAAGAACTTTTCAGTAGAGTTTATAAAGTCAGGGAAACAAGTGACGGTTGGATTTGGGGGCATGTGCAGGTTTATGTTCCCTTGCTAGACCAGTGTTGGGCTGATATTCTGTTCTGTGGCATGTGTTTTCCATGCAGGAGATCTACAGCCAGTACCTAGGGCTGCCATCAGGTGAAAGTAGCCATTTCTAAGTTGCAGAAAAATGGAGCGACTGTCCTCATGAAAACTCCTTTTGAGTCCAGGAGTGGAAAGGGGTTTCCCTTAGAGGAGATTGGCAGCTAAGGCATTCTGAATGTCCCCCATTTCCTGAATTTCTTGCTATAGAATTTCAAACTAGAATATTTTGATGCTTTCTGGTTCATTGCTTTCTTCATCTCCCAATCTGATGATTATGGTGGTGATGGTAATGGTGATGGTAATGATGACAATGGTGGTTTTATCTTCTGCTGTTTGTCCCTCAAAGCTGGAAGAGCCTCATTTCCTGCTCTACTTGGAGCAGTCCCTAGAACATATGGACTATGAATTCAGTTGACTATGTTGGTTTCCTTCCTAGGGATAGGCTCTCTTCTGTGTAATATGTGCTCTTCATGTGTAGTGTAAATTTGTATCACACACATGTGCTAGCTGGGCCGGGTGGTGTTCTATGTGCTTTCCACTTTTGTGCATTTTTTCCTCCCAACAACTCCACCAGGTATTCCCATTGTAGGGTTTTAGAAACAAGCACAGAGAGGGTTAGTAGCTTTCTCAAGGCCACATATCCAGTAGAAACCAGACCACCAACAGCTAGCTAATCTGCCTTCAAGGTCTGAGTCCTCAATGCATGCTGCACCTCATCTCTCCTCCAGTGTCTACTGCTTGCTTTCTTATCAATCAATATACTTCTGTGATAGAAAATATTTTGAGACAGGCTCAAATGTAACCCAGGTTGACCCCCTCACTCACTATATAGCTTGAGGAGAACTTGAATTCATAATCCTCCCAGATTGGCCTCCCAAGTATTAGTATTAGGAAACCATGTGGCACCTGCCGTAGTACAGCAAATTCACTTTCTTCTTTAGATTCTTTTTATCTTTAAGAAGAAGGTGCTTTGGATTTCAAATAATTTCCAAATGGATTACTCTGGGAAAATACTAAGCATAGAACTCTTCTTAGGACATCTTTAAGTAATTCATTATTATAAATGTAAGCACGCACTGTGTCCCCAGTTGGGCAGTGAGTCTATCTCAGCTATGCAAGACTAGTCTAAAAATATATGATGGTGAGATTCTGCATGGCTGACTGTGACGAGTGTGTCCTTTGCTTGCCCTGCCAACATCTGGTCACTTAGCTATTTGTTGATGACATGGGCTGCTTAACAAAGCATGCAATTACAACACAACATTTGATGTGGGACAAGTAACAATTACGCAAGAAAGAAAAGGAATGTATGCTTATGTTTGTGCTTATGAAGTGACAGTTTGGGATATGAGCTGGATAGTTTTATGTCAACTACATACATGCTAACGCTTTCTGAGAGGACAAAATCTCAGTTGAGAAAATGCTTCCATAAGATGGGCATGTAAGCAAGCTTATATGGTATTTTCCAAATTAATGATTGGTTGGGGAGGGTCTGGCTCTTTGTGGGTAGGACTATTCTGGGCTGGTGGTTCTAGTTTCTATAAGAAAGCAGGCTGAGCAAGTCACAGGGAGCAAGCCAGTAAGCGGTACCCCTCCATGGCCTCTACATCAGCTCCTGCCTCTAGGTTCATGCCCTGTTTGAGTTCTTGTCCTGAACAGTGCTGTGGAAGTGTAAGACAGATAAACTTTTTCCTCCCCAAGTTGCTTTGGTCATGGTGTTTTATAGCAGCAACAGAAACTCAAACTAAGACAGGATACTTGAATTCTATTTTTTTTTTAAGTAGAAGAGTTTTCTCACCTTCTTAGTAAATTTTGGTACATCAAACCTTGCAACGCAGCACTTAACATGAAAAATAATTCATGGAGGACATTTTAGAATTTGTCATATTTTTGTTAGGATAAGTTACCATGTACATTTTTACCATGTTCTCCTATGATAGTTAACATACGGACACCTGTATTCAGCATAAGTTATGAATACGTCCCCTGTGATAAATTTCTGACTTGCTCTAAGAGAAAGCTGATTCCCCATAAGCTACCTGTTTCAAAGGCTGCCACAAGGTAATAATGTTCCTTTACATATAAATGTATCCATATTATTACTATTAAGATATTGATTCTGAATTTACCCAGAAGTAAAAAGCAAGAAAGCAGACATATTACTGTGAGTGTCTCCATGTAGTTTTGATATCCTTAGACTTGAAACAGCAAGTGTCTCGCTGATCATTTTTATGTCCCACTGTCTCCTAAGTCTTCATCAAACTCTTATCTGAAATCAAGCTGTATATACTCTTGAACACTGAACCCCAAGATTGTCGGTTTGCCAGACTGTGATATGAAGAAAACAAAATGCCTGCAGTATATTTGAGTTTGGAATCTGCTATAAGGAACTTGAGAGAAAAAGCACATCCAGAATGCCTTATATGTTGGCTCTCTTTAAGGGAGAAGTTTCCCTACACTTCTGAAGTCAAAATGAGTCTACATGGCGACAGCTCTTCTGCATATTTGGGGGTCAGAATCACTAGAACAGCTGTTTCCACCTGGTCACCGGCTTGCGATAGAAATTGAGTCAGGGTCACACTTGCTTACAGAACATACTTGGGATGAAGAATTTCGAGAAAAAGAGTCCTAAGACTTATAGGAGACCTTTTTTGAGCTATATAAAAACAAAGATCCTAAACAAACCCAAGAACAGAATGGAATGGAGTGTGCTGTAAATCTTGCCTGCATGGCTGTTTCCAGGCAAGGGCTGAATACCCCTGCATAATGGAACTGATATAGGTAACTCTGGCCCTGGCACTGAGCAGGCTTGTGAGAGTCTATGTTTGTGCCAGCAGTAGCCATAAACTTCTGTGTCTGCAGTTCTTAACTGTCTGTTGTATGGGACTACAGTACATTCACTTGAATGGTACCTTAAAAGTAGACTGTATGTCAAACATATACGGGGGGGGGCAGGGAGGGCAAATCTACTAGAAGTAAAATGAAGCATTTTCCCGTAATCCCAGCACTCAGGAGAGAAATAGGAGGACCAACATTCAAGATCATCCTGGCAATGTAGTGAGTTTTAGGCCAGCCTGGGGCACATAGCATTCTAATTTTTAAAAATCTACTATCGAGTGAAATACATGAGATAAATGTAAATATCTTGCTAGACACACATATTGTGTAGACTATGTGAAACTATTAGCAGTGCACTCTGACTTGACGGTGCAGCTCCACAGTGCTCCGAGGGTTCTCAAATGGGGAGGAAATGGTTTGAAGTTAGGGAAACATTACAAAATGACAGATCCTTTAAAAATTGAATTTATCAGAAAAACTACCAGCTTGGCATCACTGACATCATTTCCATTAGCTATTTAAGGGGAGAAAATTGCTGTGATAAATTAAAGCTCAGCTGCCTCCGACTTGACGCAAGCTCAGTTTTGGAGTTCTGCTCAGTAGCAGCTGTAAACGAAACGACTGTTTGAAAGCCGAAAGTAGAAAATTATGCAGCCTCTTTAAGAAAGAGAACTTTTTCAAACTGTCCTGGGTGAGTTACTATTTCTATGATAACTCATAAAATGATCGGCTGCATGCCTTAGGTTTATGAAGTCACAAGTGTGGTATTCCGTCTAAAATGCAGAATATAAACGTTTTTCATGGTTTTAGTGACTTGACCACCCATTAAACTCTCCCTTCCTTTAGAGGTGCGATATAAAACATAAGTAACTGTGATGATGGGCAGTCAACCTGGGTGGAGTTTTCTCATGTAACTAATTCCTGAGAATGTAAAGATGTTCATCATAATTACATATCTTTCCGAGTAAACACACTGTAGAGGGATGAATTACACCTGGACCATATGAAGTGCTGCATTCGCGTCTTGGGAATCAACCACATGTACAGGATTGGTTACAGGAACCGACTGCTTAGGATCGAATCAGACTTAAGTATGTTAATTCTCAGAAATTCCCACACAGGCAGCGAAAGGAAAACGACCTAGAGACGTGTTAAGATCATCTGGCAGCTGGAAAACGATAACTAGGATTTAATTACATAATTCTCATGAGATTGAGTCAGATCATTTGAGCATTTTTGTTGTTGTTGTTGTTTTCGAGACAGGGTTTCTCTGTGGTTTTGGAGCCTGTCCTGGAACTATCTCTTGTAGACCAGGCTGGTCTCGAACTCACAGAGATCCGTCTGCCTCTGCCCCCCCGAGTGCTGGAACTAAAGGCCTGCCCACCACCGCCCGGCGAGTCAGATCATTTGAGGCACCTTAGGAAAGAGGTAGATTAATTGGGAGTTGGATCTTGGGAGCCCCTGGGGAAGTACAGAAATCCAGTCCTTTAGTCCATGTGGGCGTGTGGAGGATTGGAAGCTAGTGGAGGCAGTGCTATCTCATTGGAAGCTCTGTCTTGTCAGCTAGCTTCTCTCGCTGCAGCTACACAGATCTAGCTCTGGGACACAGGTTTGGGGGTTTGGTGAATAGAACAATTTTCAACAGAACTTATAATATTTAGAGCACGTGATGTCCCACATTGAATGATCTTTTAGTAGTAAAAGTTTTCAAGAAAACCTAAATGTGAATCCAGAGAGGCCACAGAAGTCTTGAGAACTGTACTAGACAGCTTTTAAAAATGGTAAGATTCACAAACGGATGTTTGCTAAAAAAAAAAAAAAAACAATAAAATAGCCTATTTCTCAGCACTGTAATCCTGTTGACTGCTGTACTAATAGTGAGGTGGGCAGCCAGCTCTGTCTATAAACTCCTGTGAGGAGTGTAGCTTCATGAGAATGCCGATAAACTCATTTATTTACTAAAAGTTTATTGCATTTCTCTCTGTGCTAGTCACTCTGATAAGCACAGGATATTAAAAGATGGGTGAGATATCAAAATGGCTTCCAAGGAGCTCATAGTGGTGACAAATTCCTGCTAAAGTTCACTATCTTCCTTTCCCCGAAAGGACACTCTGTTTCTTCTTGTTGAGTACTGCCCTAATCCTTATTTTTGCTTGCTTCTCTTTCCCAGTGTTAAGCAATTTCAAGGTCACTTAATAAGCTCGTCATCATTAGACTCAGTGTGCATTGAATTTGCTTTTTGCTTTTCTTTTTTCTGGGTATTGCTTTCATTCATTCCTATATTCTTAGTTATTTGTTAATTTGTTAGTCACTGGTTGTGCATCGGTAACAAATTGGTGATTCTTTGATGCTGATTTTTTTTTCAGATGTTATAGTGGGATGTACACATTCAGGGAGTTGAAAGTTGAGTGTTTCAGTAAGGGAAGGCAGGCAATAGATGATTACTCAAAATTAAATAGCAATTAAAAATTGTGAAAGAAATAAGATGACTGTAAAAGCCTAGAGTGAGGGAAGATTTCCTGTATGACTTTCTTTTATTCACAGCCATGTTATCAGATTTGGCTGTCACCTTCTGAGGCATCTTTCACAGGCCCTCTCCAGCCCAGTAAAGGGCAAACCAGTAATCATAGCAATGGACAGTATTGGGATGACCTATTCCTTATGGAGGACTAGGCTTGACCTATCTGAGAATTTTGCCTGTATGTCAAATATTCCCTTAATTGGAAAATTTAATGATGATTATCAGATCTTAGGCCATATCAGATAAGTCAATCATTTGAGTCTATACAAAATCAGAATCTTTCATTTAAAAACAATTCATGGCCTAAAGTAATTCACGGCACTGGAGAGACGGCTCAGGGTTAACAGGGCATGTGGATTTTGTAGAGGACTAGAGTTCAGTTCCCAGCACTCATAAACACTGGTAAATCCAGCTCCAGGAGCATCCGATGCTTCTGGCCTCTTTGGGCATCCGTACCCATACACATACGCCCCCCCCCCCCACATGCTAAAAATAATTAATAAATAAAATAATCTTTAAACTTTGACACATTCTTACTGCCCTTCACTTAGTCAGTTGTGCCCTCTAAATTTAACCTTGCACATCTGTAGCCCTGCGAGTTCTCAGTTGTTGAGGATCTCCCCAGACTGCTGCCAAGATTTAAGGCAGATGAATAAAACTGAGGTTTTTAATCTTTCGTTTGAGATAAACTGCAACTTTTGAGATCCGAAGCTAAACTGCAGCACTGGGATGAGAGCATTATCTTGTTACAGCGTCTCAGGCAAATTTAACTGTCAGCCCGCAAAGTAGAGGAGGAATTGAAAGCAGTGTTTAGCACACCTCTGAGTGGCTCTAATCCTTATGTGCTTTTGAAGGTTGCCTACAAGCAGAAGCATGATGCTGAGAAGGGGGTCTCGGATTATGCACACATGAAGGAACCTCCAGAGGTGAGACATGCCATGGAGGTCAACAGACACCAGAGCAATGTAAGAGCTCATCTTTTCTTTCTTTCTTCCTTCCTTCCTTCCTTCTTTCCTTTCTTCCTTCCTTTCTTTGCAATTTTTTTTTTCTGGAAAAGTACGAATTTAGGATTATTTTGTTGAGATTAAAACATTATGGCACACTGGTCACAAGGACTTTAACACTTATTTGAATTATTCTGATGACTGTCGTTAAACTCTTTGTTGGATATTTTTAAGTTGTGAGGCATTTCGGGCACTGTAAATTTTGCTTTGTCTAAGACACATGTGGATTCTGGGACCACTTTAGTTCTCAGCGCTTACTGAATTTCCTTTACATTGTGTGGGAGTTTGTGATCTCTACTCCAGAACGACAGGAGCACTAGAAGAAAACCCAGCTGTCATCAGTGGCCCCAGAGGAAATACAAAGTTTTAGGGTCCCTGCTGTACTTTATTTTAGAGTGCTTATGCTTATGGGGTTCAAACTGTTGAAGGTAAGATATGAACTTCGAAAGCTGGTTTCTAGTAGGTTAGGAGCAGGCGCCAAGTGGAAAGAAGGTAAAGAAAGATAGCACATTCCTTCTTTGAAGTTACCAAGTCCTTTAAGGCTTTCATGCATTTTATCAATTATCATTATCACTGTGGCTTAGAAACAGAAATTTCTCCTAAAATAATACCAGAATTGTGACTTTTCTGGCCTCCAAAGATGTAAATGACCGATGTTAGGATCTTGGTGGGTTTGTATGGGCACTGATTCGTCCTGTTGTCCTAGGTGGGGACAAGATGTCCTTCACCCGTTCTTAGAGACATTCCTGATGTTTTCGCATCATCTCACACAGAATCTGCCCTACCATCTGGTCCTCTTTGTAAGGTCTATATAAACCCAGAAGCTTTTACTTCAAAGCTTTATTTTCTTCTGCTGACTGCCTTTAGGGGCTAGTCTGGTAGAATATCCATGGTCTAGTTGCTGGCCTCATCACTGTGGCCAAACAGTTGGCAGAAGCAGCTTTGGGGAGGAAAGAGTTATATGATTCATGGTTCTAGAGAAACTGAAGTCCCATGTTGGAAGGGAACCGGTGGTTCTGGAGTGGCTGCATCCGTGGTGGCAGGAATAGATGTTGTTTTATATGATCTCAGACCAGAAAGCAGAGAGATCTAGACAGGATCCAGGGAAAGACATAACATTCAAAATCCTGCCACAACCCATCTACTCCTGTTGGTCAGGTCCCATTTCCTAAATGTTCCATAGCCCGAAAGGCATGTCTCACCTCAGACTTGCCACCAAGCATCCAAAACAGAGTCTGTGGGAGACGTTTGAGGATCAAACACTACAGCAGTTTCTTTGCGCAGTGTTTGCAATTAAATGGTATTAAATTGCAGAAGATCAGTGTTTAAGTGAAAATTATAGTGAGTCTTGACATTATGACCCAAGCATGTAAGCCACTCACCCACCAGTGCCAAAGTGTCCTCATGGATGCCTTAGTGCTGGTGGGAGCTGGAGAAGCTGAGTGTCTGCAATTGTTAACAGGGTGGTATTTTAAGGGGAGGCTTTCAAGAGTTGTTTGCTTATAGAGGGACTATAATATTCATAATACCACTTACCTAGCTCAGCCACATGCCAGGCACTGTGCCAAGGCTGGTCATTTCCAGTACTTAAAAGAACTCCGTGTTGTGTCACATTTTGTAATACAAATGAAATCAGACCAAAGAAATCAAACTCCCAATTCTACCTTTTCCATTCTTCATTGCTGCCCCGTGAAAGGCTACTGGCAATTAGTCAAGATTTTACCTGGGAATTAAAAGGGTGGGAGCAGTATGGGTTATCATCTAAATTCAGGTACTCTGTAGGGGGAAAAAACGATTCAGATCTTGGCGTTTCCCCTGTCTGACACTGAAGAAATCTTGAATTCAAATACAAGCCTGGAGGTTAGAAGATGGTCTGGTGGGCTGGGGTTGGGGCTACTGTTCCATGCATCCCCAGAAGCCCTGTCTAACTCTGCTGTTCACTGAAGTTCAAATACTGAAGTTCCTTATCATAAGATCCAGACTTATTATTTTAACTCTGTCTTTTCCTTGAAAAGGTCTGTGATTGAGAGCTTGGGGGACTGGAGCCTAAATCCTCCTTCTCCTCCATTTGCCACTGTGTACTTATGGGAAAAAGATGTGTTGACTTACATCCCTCTGCCGACTTGGCTCAACCTTTACATGCAAAATTTGTACATATAATAGGATTTAGAAACTGTTTAAGACTATTTACTCGGATTTAAAGTGAAAATGATATTTGTATTCTATCTTGAGGTAGCTGATATTCTTCCTGAGCCAAGCCTCGTAGAATAATACATTTGCTGTCCTTACAATATGAAATTTAACACAGGCCTTGGAAGCCACAGGAGAGCTAGGACATACACTTCCTGCTTTAGGGCCAGATATAAAACAAAAATCTCTCGGGAACTTCAGTCTGAAGAACTGTGACACAGAATATCCTAGTAGAATTCTGTAGAATTACTCATCTGCAATGGGGAATGTTGCTTTACTTTTGGATATAAATGGCTTAATATTCAAATAAAAACTAGGATCTAGGGAGATGGTATGGTGGGTAAAGGCTTGTTGCCAAGCTTGATGACGATGACCTGAGTTAGATCCCTGGGGCCTACATGGTGGAAAGAGGAGAACTGTGTCTGACCTCCACATGTATGCTATGGCATAGGTACACACACATACACACACACATGCATACGCACATACACATGCACACACACACACATACATACACACACGCACACACACATGCACACACACATACACACATACACACACACACAGACAGAGAGACACAGAGAGAGGAAATAGCAATAAAAATAAATATTGGATTATCCTATAAACAGTGAAGGTCAGCTTGTTAGCTTTTTTGTATCCACACAGATATGTCAGTTTTCTCAGATCTGTTAACCAAGAGGCTGGGTAGGCAGCAGTACTCTGGAGCCTGAATAGCTGCTTTTTGTCTGCCCTACCTCTTATTAGGATGCTCATCAGTGAAGATGCTGAATAGTAGTTTCCTTTTTCAGTTTTTCTAGTTAAATATCTATGAAAAAACAAAAGATTCTGATGGTTCAACTAGATTTGCACCTTCAAATAATTAAGAACTCTAAGAAGAACAGTGATTGGGGTGGGGGTGGGTAGTGGTAATCTCTTGCCTAACTCAAAATTTTAGTTGAGTGATCACAGAAAATGAAAAACAACCCTTTTTGTGATGGTCTCCACTAGAGCGCACATTAGAGAGGTAGTTTGGCATTAGATCATGATGGAAATGTTTGCTTTGCCAAATAGCATGGATGACCATTGACAGGTTGCTTGTCTATAGAGCCCAGCTCTCACGTCTCTCAGTGGGGGCAATGGTGCTACCTACGCCCAAGGGTTAACTTGAGTTTTAAATGAGATGATATCCGTGAAGAGCTCCACAGAGGGACTCCTTGCTTCATGAAAGAGTAGGCCTATCTGGCTTCCTCCAGCCTTGAGAGTTTAGAGCAATATGACAGTTAACTCAAGCCAATAAAAAGAAGTTCAATTTTTAAAGGGTCAAATCACTAGGAAATAAATATGAAGAGTGTATTAGGTCAGAAAGGCAAATTCAAAAAGGTCCCCAAATCTCTCTCTCTTGTTGATACTATCATCAAAAAATGATTCAAACCAGCTGATCTAAATCCTTTCTCATTTTAAGGGATGTGCCCCTGGCACATTTTTCTAATATAATTAGAGAAACTGGAGGTATTTTTCTCCTGTGATTTTTTTCCCCCCAAAAGATGAGCTTGTAATGAAAACCTCAGTTCCATTATTCCGTCTCATCAATCTTCCAGAGATGGGAGCCGGCCGGTCATTCTGCACTAAGTCGGGCGAATCTCAAGTAGCCCGTTTTACTTTTCCGAGTTACATGGCTGTGGTATGACAGGAATGGTCAGTTTTCCCAAATTTGTATGGCCAATCAGTTCAATGTGCATTAAAACATTCTCAGTGTGAGAAATTATGTTTAAGACTTAATGTTGTTCCCAAGCACGATGTATGTACTGTCTGTCTTAAGATTAATAAAAACTTATCAGCTGTTAAGTTTCTGTCCCATCAGAAAGTGAAAAAGCTTGCAGATAATTCAGTAAAATGACACTAGAAAAGTGACTGTGGCTTCTGAGGTTCTCCATGTGATTTACAATAACAATGACTCAGAATTTAGCATTAAAAATAGGTACATTAATGTTTGGTTCATCTCTCAGAGAGCATCGTTAGAATTACCTATTCTTCGGAAGGCTGTGGTGGTAATGAGATTAAATTGTGAATAAGAAAATGTTCATTAACTATCTAATTACTTATAAACAGTGGCAACAATAGTGATAGATTGTTCTAGCTATCACTATAGTTTATTCAGTCTTTTAGAAAATCAAAGTTATTTTCTCGCGGCTGTATGGCATCGGACCATACCTCTACTTAAAGAATTTATATTCTGTCAGAGAAAACAATGTTTAAGTGAGAGTAAGGAGGGGTTTTCAGGAGGCTGTGGTTTAGCCAGTGGTCCTAGCTAGTATGTACGAGGTGCCGTGTTTAGTCTGCCATGCTTAAACAAAAACAATCTCAGTCTATGTGCTAGTTTGGTAGTATCTAGATAGGTACTCTGATAGCAGCATTTCTGATGGTTATAGAAGGTTTCCTTTAGAGCAATTAAACTCTGGCCTCCTTTAACTCTCTGTAGGCCTTGCTACTCATTTCTCCTCCACCAACCTAAGAAGTCTTCTTTCCTGTCTAGTTTTGCCTCCCTCACAAGAACTATTCGGTTCTTCACTAGAGTAGCAGAGTGGCTGCCTTTGATCCAGTTAGATTTGTCACCATCAGGTCTGCGTGCTTGCACGGTGCTTGTCCTCTGCAGGCGTCATCCATCTGAGCCTCTCTCTCCCCTCCAAGAGCATCCTTCACCTTCTCTTCAAGGACCATCCATGGCAGCTTTGCTTCTGTTCAGTTTGTGAATTCCCCAATCAGGGAGTCTCACATGACCATTGTATAATCCTGAAGCTGTTGTGACTCCCTGTATCCATGTCTGCCTGTATTTGGAGAGCAAACGTTCGTTTTCTTTCTGCTTTCAAAATTCCATGGGTATTTCCATTATCAGCTCATTCTAACCCACAGCTAAAAAAAGGAGGTGTTGGAGGATATGGCTCCAGTCCCAACAGGAAGTGTCACTACAGCCCAGTTGAGGTTAGACAATCCTCAACAGGGACAGGGATTTAAAGAGTTCATGCACATAAACTATTTAGCATTGTACGTGACACACAGAGCACACCACACGAATGAAGGAACTCACAAAAGACATGGCCCTTATGCAGCAGAAACAGCAATACTGAAAGGAGAGAACCCATGGAGACTAGTAGAAGTGCATGGAGGTGTGAGACAAGGGTGGAGCTGGACATAGTGAGGCAGGGGCGAAATCCAGAGCTAGACCGTTGGTGGAATCCATGTCTTTATTGGAGGTGATAAAGGACAGATGTGACTCTGCAGAAAATCCTGAATGGATGCTCCAGGGTTAGTGACATGAATCCATCTATGTACTTAAGTAAAAATGGGAAGTTTGCTGATGATATACAGACTTACATTGGTATCCACGGCTTATGATTTTTGTACATACAAAAAAATCATGGATGTTCAGGTATTTTATATGAAACACTATTATTTGTATATGAGTTTTGTATATCTGCTCCCATATTTTAAGCAACTTCTAGATAATTCACCATACTGAATATAATGTTTAAATGCTAGGTTAATGGTGGTTGTATTACTCAGGGGATATTGACACAATTTTCTTTTGCAAATGTTTTTAATCTGCAGCTGAATGCAAGGTGCATAGTTATAACTGAAGCTGGAGGCCCCAGCCATAAATAGAAAGCTTAAGCTTCCTTCAGGCAGGTTGGACGCAGACTTGCTCACGTCCTCGCAAGAAGCCCTCTCCTGCCCCATAACTGGTTCTGTCCAGTTCTATCCAGTGTCAGTTCCGACTGACCCTGTCTGTGAGGACTTGAAGAGCCAGCTGCAATCTCCAACTGGTCATCTCTGGCGCGGCTGACCCCAGAGGAAAGAAGGCTGGCATGTTACCCCGCTTCTTCAGGCCCTGTGGGTGATTCTAGTCCTGGTTAGTCCTAGTCCTGGTTTCTAAATGGGTATGCTCCTTGGTCAGACAGCCTGGGTGTAGGAAGCCTCCACTGCATTTGTGAATACTGCCTAACCACATTGAAAGTCTGGAAAGCACTTTACGTGTAAGAAATGCTAGGGGTGGGGCCATGACGCAGTCTGTAAAGCACTCACCTCCCAGTGGTGAGGACCAGATTATGGACACTCAGAACCCAGAGACGGAGCCAGCGTAATGGCACACACCTGTAATCCTAGTGATGAAAGGCAAAATGGAAGGTGGAAACAGATGGATCCCAGCTACTCCCAAGCTAGTTAGTCTGGCCTGTGTGGTGATGTTTCATGCCGATGAGAGACGCTGTTTAGAATAAAATGTAGAGATACCTGAGGACCTAATACCTGAGGTCTCTGATCTCCACCTTCACCTGTACACACACACACACACACACACACACACACACTCACTCACGCACACACATGACAGGAGGTCATACTGCCACCCCCCACATTGTCAGCCATCCTAGCAGACGGTGTGATTGGCAGCTTGCTTCCTGAGTGTCCTGGATGGCAGCTTCCCTTTCCTGTGGCACTTCCCTCGCAGCACCGCCGTGGAAGATGGTGAACTGGCTGCTGTGCTTTTCTCCTGCACGGCTCCGTGGTGTCCTCTTGTTTGAATGTGTAGCTCATGTCAATCTTAATATTTGTTTTGAGTCGCATATGCTGGTCTCTAATTTGCAATTTACATGGATGATGGGGCCCTATTCACAGTACTGCTCCTGCCGCCTTTGTACCGCTCACCTCTCTTCACGCCGTCATTAGGCAGAACAGCATATAATTAGGTAACCCGTGTAAAGCTGGGGTTTCTCAAAGGTGGTAGCTCTTTTCAAAAAGTGTGGGTTTCCATCTTTCCCCCCATTCTTCTCTAGACAAAAAGCCATGTCCCCCCTGGTGGCTTTCCAATGAACGGAGAAACGTAGAAGCAGTTAGTCGTGGAGGCAGGTAATAATTCCGGTTTGTTTACACCTGAGAACAGGTTTTTGTTTACATAGCTTGTGTTTAACTCAGTGTAGGCTGGAACTGAGCTGTTGTCCTTTGCAGATGAGTGTTTTGTAATCAGTGAAATTGCCCTACCCAAAGAGTTTCGAACATTTAAAACCCACCCCACAAAATAATTCAGTGTTCAGTGAATTTTTATATGTCTCTTACTACTTGTATGTGTAAAACCTACCCAAAATTACTGGTTAAGACAAAGCTTATGAAAATCTAAGTGACGAAGAAAAGAGATGTTCTTGATGAAATTACACTAATTGTGTCTAAGCTGCGTTCACCTGTCAGGCAGGTTCATGATTGTAAATGTAGTTTTAAAAGATAGTCTTGGCGTTAAGACAAATGCAAACTCACAAAAGATAAAGCAGACGCTTTGCATTTCTATGAAAGGAAGTCACATGGTGCACTGGAAACCCACTGAAGTATTAATGTACGATTACTTTTACTCTCAGTGATTGCCTTTGAAAAAGTGTGAAATACAGTGGGAACTTTTATAAACTCTGAAAGGTGAAAGGAAAATGACAAGCAGGTCAATATCACCAATACTGGATCATAGTGATCAGTTAGGAATTTATTGAAATCAGATACTTAGGCCCCGCTTGCCACCGTTCTGCTACTGAGGATTGTAAGTGGATCCCAGAGATGTAAATCTTTAATGAAGAGTCCATAGGGTGCCACTGCAGAAAGTTTGCTGTCAGCATAAGGAGTGTGTTGTGCCGTTTGTACAGGTGCCCCAGTGATCCATACGTCTGTATTATACTCTTTTAAGTTCTGAAAAAATAATAGATTTTAAAAATGACCATATACTTTGCACTATAACTTTGGCAGAACACATTCTAATAGACAAGTCAGCCTGCCTCTGGCCACACTGCCAGACAGAAGTGCATCTGACTGCTAGGTCTATAGATTTCATGATGCAGAGAAGCAGGCGATGAGGAGATGCTGGGCATCCGCGCTGCTGTAGTTGTGTTTTCATCTTTCCACCTATCTGCCCGTCAAGGTGACGGGAAGAAGCCACACGGCCCAAAGTACTTCACATTTTTTAACGCTTGTCTGTTTCTCTCTTTTAATCTCTACTTTTCTGATTTGTGCCTAATACGCACTCCCAGCGACAAGATTCCTTTATACAACTGTCCTTCTTTGGTAGAATCGGATCATAGTAAAGATGCAATCTATTAGGAGATAAGCATCTCCCAGGCACGAATATCCGAGGAGTTCAGTTGGGAAGGAAGAAAAGGGTATAGTCGCTAGGGTGGAGGCTGCTTCACCACCTGCCCTCCCTGGGGGAGTGATAATGTGTATTTGTCTGCATCTCCTGGATGGATGGATGTGAGATGGATGGGACCAAGGATGTTGTGTGTATGCAAGGCTATCAGCATACACACTTAGGTAACAAAACATTTTCATAGAGCGCTGTATAGAAAAATACTTTCAGATTGGTTTGCGCCCTATTTTATAGTATGTATCTATTTCAGAATTGATGAGACATGGGATAGTATAAAGAGTAAATATATAAGTGAAATGAATGATCTGCGCAAAAATCATGAAAAAGTAACATAAGGTCAGTGTGCTCTTAAAGCTATTGTGGCAAGGAGAAATAATTCTATACGAGTGAAGGTAGCTAAATGGAATGACTAATTTATTCTCTTTTCCAATCAAAACTGTCTCTTTCATCAGATTTCTTATAGAAAAGATGTGCAGGACACCCACACGTATACAGCGGAACTTGAGAGACCGGATATCAAGAAGGCTACTCAGATCTCCAAGATCATAAGCAATGTAATTTATCTCTCTGAATCTTGTGCAGATGCGACTTCTTTTTTATTTTGAAGGAAGAGAGAGCACACCATTGGTGGTTGGGTGGTTAATACAATTAACATAATAAAATCATTTGAATTAATGACATCTCGATTTTGTCCTGAATTATCCATTAGGTTATGTAAATTTGGGGGGTTGTGCATGAATTTCCCATGTTCGGCTCGACTCTGTCTAGGATTAGCATATTTTTAGTGGTATGCGCACTACTGGGTATATGGCCACATTCAGACGGCTCAGCTTGGAAGCCAGACTTGTCAGGCTTCTGATCCCGCTTCATCTCTCACCTTCCTCCCATCCAGGGAGTTCAGCTTGGCCTCTTCCCATCTGTTGCTGGGGATTTGCCGATTCTCTTCTAACAGCATTTACTTCTGCACATGCCCGGCATGCCATGGCTGTGTCTTATCTCCTGGGGTACTCTTCCAAGTTCATGCCCTTTTGCTTGAGCACACCAAACATCCTGATTAAAGCTAACTATTGGACTAGCATAGCCCACGCCCCTTAAAAATCGATAAAGAAACTAACTCAATTCAACTGCTAATACCTGTTTCCATGGACAAAACAGTAAATGCTATCTGTGTGAAGCATGCAGAGTCTCAACTCTCGAGAAAAGCCCCTAGTAGTTTTTAGAAATAAGTATAAAGATGATGATGACTGGCTACTTAGATTAAAACAAGTAATTCTGCTAAAAGTTGAATTTACTCAAGTAGCTATAAAAAAAATTTCTGCTTTAGCAGTCACTACTTTAGTATTCAGTTTGCTACATGAAATATTTTTAATGGGCCGTGGGACTATTATATTTTATTTTGACTAATGTTAACATAATGTGAAGTAGAAATATTAAAAATTTCTCATTATTCACTTTAGGTGGAATACAAGAAAGGGCAAGGCATAGTGAATAAGGAGCCGCCTGTAATTGGAAGACCAGACTTTGAACACGCAGTGGAAGCCTCTAAGCTTTCTAGTCAGGTAAGCCTTCAGCATGCTCATCCTTCAGTGGTTTTATTCAGAGGTTTTATTTCAAGGAGCATGGAAAATATTTCCAATAGACAATATCTTTAATTGTAAGAATAAACAGAGGTAATGTTTCTGAAGCTACTTCAGCTAGGATTGCAATAATCACAAATTTCAGTGGAGGAAAATTTGTTTAATTTTCAGAACAAAGTCAAGTTTTCTTTCCTGTCGGCTCACACCCAAGCCTGTTTCAATGAGTCTGGCCGTGGTGTATTTCCAGAGATAGTGAGAGCTGATACCAGAAGTCATATTTTTATGCACATATACACAAAATAGACACGCATACAGTTTTAACTTAGTAATAAAATATTTTCTCAATTTAAAAACATTTTTTCCTTAATTAGAAAGCAAAACAGGCAAGAGATAATACAGAAAACCTTGAAATCTGGTTTCAGAATATGAGACCTGAAGAGTCCACAAACCTGAAATACAAATAGATTGGGAAGTTAAAATTTCAGTTTTCCCAAATTATCATATAAATGCCATTCAGTTTCAATTAGAATCCAAAAGGATTATTAAGAATATAGCTGAAATGAATTTCAAGTTTCTGTGGACAGGAGTTGCCTGAAAGAGCCTTTAGCAGTGTGAGAACAGAGATCAGTAAAGGAGAAAGAATAAGAAGCCATATGAATACGTCAGTGTGGGGTTGGTATATATTGAGAGGTAAAATAATCAATGGGCTAGAATGACATTCCTGAAATAGATTCCTGTATGCCTAAGAATTTAATGTATGGTAAAAGTATTGACTCAAGTCAGAGGGGAAAGTTAGACCAGCTAATAAGTTGTCCTAATGTCACTGGCCACCCATTGTGGTGAAAGAAAATTGGGTGCACATCTTTAACCCTATACAAAAATGAATTCCAGGTAGATTAACATATGAATGCAAGCCAAGAGTGATGCCACAGTCCAACAAGCCCAGGACTCAGGACTTGAGGCAGAAGGTTTGCTGCACTACAGAATGAATCAGCTTGCACTACAAGATGAACCCCACCTCAAAGCAATGCAAAGCCGAAACCAAACAAGCCAGTGTCAACGAACAACCCAAAAGATGGGAACATAATCACTAAAATATTATAGTAAAATTCAGGGGTCATTATATAGCACATAATATTTGTACTTTATCAAGACCAACATCCAGAGGTTCTAATGGAAAAGTCAGACACAATGATTGCACGAAGATTAAAATCTCTGCTGCATGTGATGACTTACGCTTGTCATTTCAACTCCTAAGGGGCCGAGGCAGGAGAAGTGTGATTCAAAGGCCAGCCTGAACTACATTCTGAGACCCTGTCTCAAAATCCTCAAGCAAATAAGTAAATCAACAAGGGCATTTATTCAGGGGGAAGTGACAGAGTCAGCAGTAATGCTAACAAACTTTGGTTAAAATGTGTTTATAATTTTCAGTTGGGGGAAGAATTCTCTTTTTATATTTCAAAATGGGGCAATATAAATACATAAAAGTCTAAAATATGACAGAAAAATATAAAGTAAATCTTAAATCTAAAAATATATTCTGGGCTCTTGGTTTGAGATTCTTGATACTCAATATCACTATAATGTTATTTCTTCCAACATTAATTTTAAAGGTCCTATGTAATTTCAATTCAAATCCAAACAGTCTTTTCAAAACTGAGAATCAAGTTATATAACTGGATAAATTAAAATAATCATAAAATTTGTACAGGCAGGGAAAAACTAGAAATAGTTTTTCAAATAATATCTCAAAATATTTGCAAAAGATCTATAATACATATGATAATATACTTTAATATCTATTTTTGTCCTAAGCTCTTTTTCATTGTATATGTATGTGTGTGTACAGACTGTACATGTGTATATAAAGATGATATGAGATGACTGGGCTTGGAGTAATAGGTGGCTGTGATCAACCATGTAACTGTAAGAAATCAAACCTGGGTCCCCTCCGAGAGCAGTGAGTGTTCTGGGCTGCTGTGCTATCTCTCCAGTACCCTTACAAGTTCGTTAAGGTGGAAACAAAACTGTCTAAGAGCTCAGTAGAAATGAGAAATGAGGTGAACAAAACTGTACAAAGAGGAAACATAAATGGCTAATAACTATGTGGAAAGATGCTCAGGTTTAGTAGGAGAAAAATAAATGCCAACATTATTAAAATGAAATGTCATTTGTACCCATAAGCATTCTGTCTCTTGCTAGTGTGGGGGAGAAGGATGTGCTGTTGGAAAGGTTTTGTGGAGGTGGTAGTTTTGAACTAGGCTGGGCTTAAAGGGAGAGAAATCTGTTCAAGAGGAAAGGCTGGCCTCTGTGAGAGATGAAACTCCCATGGGCCAGCTGGGAGTGGTTGCAAGAACCACACAGGAAACGATGTACCACTTAGAAGTCTCCATGGCTGTAGTGAAGGAGGGAGGCGGAGAGAAGGGATGTGTGTGAGAGATGCAGGAATGTAATGTGACTTGAGTTAATTGTTTTACAGTCGGCCATGCCTTTTGCTTATAAAACAGCTTTGTGGCTTGGGAAGCCTCTAAGGCATAAGATATGCTCAACAATCTTACGAAAGGCCCAAGATAGCTAAGAGGAGCATTCCTAATATTGCTTGTTCTGAAGGCAAGAGAGCTTGGACTTGCTTTGGGTTTATGTGTGTGTGTGTGTGTTGGGGGTGGGGGGGAGGGTTGGGTGTCATCGACCTTGTGTAGAGGTTAGAGGACAACTTCCATGATGTGGGTTCCACAGATCAAACTCCGGCCATTATAACTTCACAGCCAGGACCCTCCTGAGCTGTTTATCCAGGCCCTGCCCTGACTTTATGTACCTCCCTTTCTTTGCTGTGGATAGAAATTTCCTATCAGCCACACAGTAGATTGTACAGAAGCAGTGTGGTCCCTTTCAGTGAGTAGGAAACTTGTCAGTGGAGCAAGACCTTCTAGATGACACTATGGTTCTGTTGCTTGCTTGCTGAGAGACCTGAGACATGCTGTCTCTGTTTCTGTAAGACTGATCTGACGGCAGAGGCACCTGCTAGTTAGAATTGTGATTGCATTGTTAAAACGGTCACCCGACCCGCAGATCCCACAACTCCATAAAATCATTTTTAAAAATAGATACTTGGAGCTTTTTCTCATCCTCCTTTTTTTTAGATGAATTCACAGATAGGGGTAGAGCGACAGACAGCTGTAGCTCTCACTCAGACTCCACCTTAATTTGACTCCATCCAGTCCTTTCTGTAAGTCCTTAAAGAAAACTCCAGGCTGAGCATTTTCACATTTCAAAGTCAGTCCACAAGAGTGCTGCCATTTGATGCCCCACCCCCTTGGGTTTTTAGAAATATGTTTTTTCAGTCTCAGATTAAGTAGCCACCAACTGATCAGATGCTTAAACCGGTTGCAGTCTGCAAGTTTTATGTGCCCATCAGGTTTCTTCTCCTTTGGTCTTATGTTCTATAGGTTTCTGAAAGGGAAAAGATGGGAAGTAGAGAATAGGAGTCCTGGAATGGCTTGCTTTATGTGTCTGCTCAGCTGCATCAACCTGGAACCAAGGCCCAAAATGCAGTTTTTTATTTTCACTAGTAATGTTGAAGGTCACACACTTACTGACCCCTAAGTCATTGGCAAAGGCACACGCATACATTGTTGGAAAGGGCTCAGGAACTCAGTAAGCAGGGAAAAGAGGTGAAGTGGGTGTGTGGAGAAGGCAAACACCGGCAGTGGGCTGTGGTGTAATGGCAAGGCACGCATGGGGAGGAAACAGCAACAGACTCTGAGTGGGAGAGACACTCACATTTGCCTGTCTGCTGAGCTCTGTGGGATTTCACGCAACTATTATACTAACTAGAACAATTGCTTTAATCTTTCCTTCTTAAATTTTTTTAAATATTTATTTTAGGTGATTTGTATGCATGTGCATGCCTGAGCATGCGTGTATGTGCATGTGTGTGTGAGTGCAGGAGCCAGAGGAACCCAGAAGTGTCTAATGGCTAGACATTAGAATGCCAGTGGCTGGAGTTCTAGGCGGTTGCAAGTCACCTGATGTGGTTGCTGGGAAGGAAAGTCTGGTCCTTGGTAAGAGCAGTACCCAATCTTAGATGAAACTATCTCTCCAGGTGCAGCATTCTCTTTGAAAACTGGGAAGATACATAGTATCATTATTTGTAGTTGTTTAAAATTTTTAGGAAAATGAATTTTATGCACCAAGACAAAGATGCTAGTTTATGTGCACCTCAAATATGAATAGACTGTCAAAATAATCAACTCTGAAGTTCTAAGTGAGGTTAGTTTGATACTATGTCCCTCTATCATCTGAACTTCATATTTGGAATTTGTCTGCACGATGATTTTGTATGCAGGATTAAATTCTTGGTTTAGTTTTATAGCACCAGAGAAATGGTATGCATATAATAATTAATATTTGTTACAAAATTGCATTTTTTTATTGATAAGGATGAATTTAAAACTTAAAAGAACCAATCTGGAAAATTTAGTAATAAATAGTATCCTTAAACTGTTAAGTGAAGGCGTAAGTCACAAACAATGCCACACCAGTTTGGAATTATGATTAATAGGGTGGTATTTATTTAAAGGGGAAAAAACTTACAGATCACTGTCCCAGGCAACAGCCCTCTAAGCAACCAGAAAGGGAGTCTAGTCGCAGGTGGAGCAGGAAGTGAAGAGAGAGAGGAGAGGGAAGTGGCCACTTTTTTAAAGGGAGAGAGACCACGCCCCAATGGGCTGGTATCTCAGCAGCTATAGGCTGGAGGAGTGGGAGGACCTCCCGCAACACCTCCCCCTTTTGTTTAAATAAGAGAGTTCTAAACCTACTATGAAATTATATACAATAAGTACAAATATCCTATTCTAACTAGCTTGGTCTTGTATAATAAATAACTTGGCCAAGTCATGAGAGAAAGTAACTACATTTATATAGTCTTCAACCCCATCGAAGATCTGAGAAGGGAAATAATGTTACCTAGGTAATTAGGAAGT